TTGTTAGACAAATGCAGCTATTCATGTTGTTTTTACTGGAGTATACCACCTCTGTATCCCTGATGTTTGCATGTTGGAGATCCGGTGCAATTAAACATCGCTCTTTGTAGCACTCCATGGTGGGTGGGGAGCAGGGGTGCTGAATAAATTACTTTCATCATGGCTCACAATCATTCTGGTTCCAACCGCAATGAAAAGAAGAGACGACTCGAAGCTGAGATTTTATCATCTGATGATGATGTCTCGATTTCACAAAATTCTAATTCTTGGGCACGTTTTATAGTTGTTGAATCACGGAATCAACTACCCTTGAAAATTAATCCGTTTGCTATCTCTAAAGCCATTGCAGGTATTTGTGGTGACGTCAAGAATGTTTCACGCCTCCGGAGCGGTTCTCTTTTGGTAGAGTGTGCACGGAGACAGCAAGCTATCAATCTTTTGAAATGTACTACATTCGCAAACACTGAAGTTGCTGTCTCTGCGCACAGAACGTTAAACTCAAGTCGAGGCATCATCCGCGACAGAGCCCGTTGTCTGGCAGAAATGACTGAAGAGGAAATTCTTGATGAACTCAATGATCAACATGTCACGTCTGTGAAACGTTTCACTAGAAAGGATGGAGATAACATTGTCCCAACAAATACTTATTTGTTCACCTTTTCACTGTCGACCATACCACAATCTATAAAGGCAGGATATTTCAACATCGGAGTGGAGGTGTATGTCCCCAATCCACTCCGATGTTACAAGTGTCAGAGTGAGTGAGTGAGTTATGGTTTACAGTCACATCGGCAATATTTCAGCCATATCGTGACTAAATCAAGTTATATAGTCATGAAACACAAAACTGAACTAAAAACCTGTCGACAAAGGACAGTACAATAACTAGAGTATCACAGATTTTAGTTAAAACTAGTTTGAGAGTATATAAAAGAACAATGGTACAAGTCAACAACATAATATAAAAACGGGTTATAGATCGCCAGCAACCAAAGTTCGGCCACCACACTAGGGACCGAGGGGACTTACGATGCTTTTGCTTCCTGCACGGCACCCCAGCCGGGTTTACACCATCCCTTCAGTCGCTGGCGATTGTAGTCGATATTAACCACCAATTAAAACGAACAAATATGCTACGATTAAAATGTGATAGCTATAAATTTACTATGAAAGAAATGGAACTTATGTATCCTCTCCGGGGGACAATAATTTTACTGTGCTTTAACCCCCTTCGAGGATACAGCCACTTACAATCACAGTTGTGAATTCATTCTACCAAGTTTAAAACATAGTTTTTATACAATATTATGAATCAAAATTTTGCAAACAATTCAATATGTTTTAAAAAATCTATAATTAAACGAGAGTTGATACTAGTAAAAAGATCCTTAATAGATGATGCTTTGAAATATTGATCCCTTGTGATGGAAAAATCAATACAGTCAAGCAGGACATGCTTGACCGTGATTCTTTCATCACAAGGGATACAAAACGGAGGATCCTCACCTTTTAACAAATACTCGTGGGTATATCTCGAATGGCCAATACGACATCGTCGCAAAATGACCTCTTCAAATCTGGACTGACAGCCCAAGTAGGTGTAACCAATGTTTGGTTTAATTTCATGTAATTTATTAATACCTACTTGGGTGTCCCACTTCTTTTGCATTAGATCTCTGATGTACGATCTAATCAAGGGTTTAATATCACTGTAGGGGATTAGAAGTGGTGTCACAGATTTGTTGAGTGCTGCTTTTGCAGCAGCATCAGCCATTGTGTTACCAATGATTCCAACATGGCTAGGTAACCAGCAAAAAGCGATGTCGTATTGGCCAGTAGCTAAATCAGTATATAATTCGACAATTTCGAGTAAAAGTGGATGTGTACTGGACATGTTTAGAATAGCCTGAAGACATGAAAGAGAGTCTGAAAATATTATGAACTGCTTATGCTTAGATTGATTTTGAATGTATTTAAGAGCTGTTAAGATGGCGTACGATTCTGCCGTGAAAATTGAACTGTCATGTTGCAATCTGAACGATATTGTTCTGGATCCAATGATAGTAGCGCTAGCAACTGCATCACCATCCTTGGATCCATCTGTAAAAATAGATTTGTGTGTATCATATTTAGTTCTCAGTTGATGGTATTCTTGTTGATAAATTAGTGGATTAGTTTGGGATTTCTTTAAGTTTGTTAGAGTCAGGTCTACCTCTGGCTTTATCAATTGCCAAGGAGGTGAAGACAGAAGGCGGTAAGGAGAAATATTTTCAAGGTGTAAATTCGCATCAGAAAGATCAGTTTTCAACCTTATTCCAAGAGGGGGAATTAGAGAAGATTTCTTTTGGTAGAGGTCGTCATAGAGGGGGTGAAAAATGCAATCATATGCAGGGTTTGACTGATTTGAAGATAATTTGGAAATATACTGTAAAGATAATTTTAGACGTCTGAGTTTTAGTGATGGTTCATCAGCCTCTACATATAAATTGGTAATTGGAGAAGTTCTGAAGGATCCAAGGCAGAGCCGTAGTCCTTGGTGATGTATAGAATCAAGAATTTTTAGATTGGTTTTGCATGCACCCCCGTAAACAATGGAGCCATAATCCAGTTTAGAACGTATGAGAGATCTATATAGTTGGAGGAGGGTCTTCTGATCACCTCCCCACTTTGAATTGGAAACGACTTTTAACAAATCGAGTGCCTTCAGGCATTCAGCTTTAAGGTACTTTATATGGGGTTTAAAAGTCAAGTGGCTATCAAAAATAAGTCCTAAAAACTTGGCTTCTTTTACAATTTTAATAGGTGTGCCATCCAAATAAAGTTCTGGATCTCGATGTGGCTTATAATTTTGACAAAAGTGAATACAATTGGTCTTTGATTTAGAAAATTTAAAGCCATTTTCGAGACACCATTTTTGAATTCTATTTAGACATAACTGCAATTGTCTTTCTATAGTATTCATATTTTTACCACGACAAGAGAGGTTAAAATCATCCACAAAAAGCGATCCATCAATTGAATCGTTTAAAACCCTAGAGAGGCTATTGATTTTAATACTGAACAATGTGACAGACAAAATACTGCCCCGTGGGACACCCTGATCCTGATTATAATGATCAGACAGGGTAGATCCCACACGAACTTGAAATTGTCTGTCTGTTAAAAAGTTGGATATAAATTGAGGCAAACGGCCTCGCAATCCAAAATCATGTAAATCTTTTAAAATCCCGTGTTTCCATGTTGTGTCATATGCTTTTTCGAGATCGAAAAAGATAGACACTGCATGTTGTTTGTTTAGTATGGCGTTTTTTACAAATGATTCTAAACGGACTAAGTGATCGATGGTACTTCTATTTTTACGGAAACCACATTGAATATTTGATATGAGATTATTGGTTTCTAAGTACCAAACTAGACGATTATTTATCATGCGTTCCATTGTCTTGCAAACGCAGCTTGTCAATGAAATTGGTCGGTAATTTGAAGGGTCGGTATGATCTCGCCCGGGTTTAGGTATTGGAATAACTATGGCATCACGCCAAGAAGGTGGAAAACTTCCTGACGTCCAAATTTCATCAAACATATTCAACAGTGTTACTAAACATGATGCTGGTAAGTGCTTCAGGAGTTGATAATGTATGTTATCAGCTCCAGTAGCAGTATTGTGGGATTGTTCAAGGGCAGTATGCAGTTCATGAATAGAAAAGATTTCATTGTAATCTTCCCCATTATCTGATTTAAAATTAACTGGTTTCTTTTCCTGTTGTTTTTTGTAATTTTGAAATTGAGGCACATAATTGGAAGAGGAAGAATGTTTGGCCAAAGTTTCACCCAGTTTATTTGCAATATCAGATTCATCAGTTAATAACTCATTCCCATTCTTAAGATGGTGAATGCCAGATTTAGATCCCTTACCTTTGATTTTCTGGATCATGTTCCAGACCTTGGACATCGGCGTTCGTGAATTAATTTTTGAAACGTAAGCTTGCCAAGACTTGCGTTTATTTTGTTTAAACGTACGCCGTGCTTTAGCATTTGCAATTTTGAATTTATTTAAATTATGGACCATAGGATGGCGACGGAAAAAACGTTCGGCTTTCTTCCGTGCCTTCCTAACTTGTTTGCAAGTATCATTAAACCATGGTTTACGGATGTGAGGAATAGCAGAGGACTTGGGAATGCATTCATCAGCTATTTTGGTAAGTTCTTCAGAAAACAGTTTTATTGAATCAGGAACATCAATAAAACGAACAGGAGTTAATTTGCTCGTACAAAGTGACTCGAACAATGACCAGTTAGCTTTAGTGAAATTCCATCTTGATGATGGAGGAACATCAGATGGAGTTATTGTTTGAAGAATAGTTGGAAAATGATCACTTCCACACAAGTCGTCGTGGACTGACCATTCGAATTCACTTAGAAGCTCAGAGTTGGTAATTGACAGATCCAGAGATGAATAGGTGCCTGTACCTGGATGTAAATAGGTTTTAGAGTTATCATTAAAAATGCATAGAGCGTTGTCAGATATGAAATCTTCTAATGTCTTCCCTTTGCGGTTTGAATCAGCACTACCCCAAAGTGGATTATGTCCATTTAAATCGCCCATTATGATACAGGGCTGAGGGAGCTGGTCATAGAGTGCCTGAAGATCTGTCTGTTGAAGAGTAGAAGAGGGCGGGACATAAAGTGAACATAAGGTCAAGACAATGTTTAGAGTTATTCGGACAGCAACAGCCTGAAGTGGCGTATTTAGTACAACAGGGCTATGTATCACACCCTGCCTCACCAATACTGAAGATCCTCCAGTGGCCCTAGGTCCTGGAGGAGAGAAGTAGTTATATGCATTATATTGTTTTATCTGGATTTGGTCAGTATCTTTATAATACGTTTCCTGTAAACAAATAGCCGATGGTTTATAATCCTGGATTAATAATTGCAAATCATTGAAATTGTTCCCGAGTCCTCTGCAATTCCACTGGATAATAGTAGAAGAGCAACTCATGGTGGCTCAACTGGAGATCGAGTGCGAGGAGGAGGTCCGTTCCCTTGGACTGGGAGTGAGGGACTTACCTCCATTTCCAGAGGTCCAAAAGTATTTTGTACCTCTACAGGGGTTGTAGTAGGAGAAGGCACCTCCAAGTGCTGGAGAGCCCTGGCCCTTCTCCTCATTTGTTTTTTTTGTTTGTTAGACAAGTGACCTTTACCATGAAAATCTTCAATGTCATTGATAGATTCTGATTCTAATTGGTTTGCAGCTGTGGGATCAGATGAAGGATTCTCTGTTTGTGAAGCAGACGTAGCTAGTAAGGGGCTGTTTTGAGACATCTGGGTGGAATTGTCTAGAGTAATCTGAGTATCCTTGACCCAAGAGATAATAGTTTGAGTGCAGGATGTTGATACATTTACAACTGGAGATGGGGCAGACACAGCAGCTGAAAATGTTTTGGTGAAAGGTGTTTGGGGTGGCAGAAATAATTTTTTGGCTTCTGTGTACGAAATATTGTTTGTACATTTGATTTTTAATATCTGTGATTCACGATCAAAGACAGGACAGGATTTTGATGAGGACAAGTGCTGTCCGTCGCAGTTAGCACATTTGATGTCATTTGTGCAATCATCTGAACTTTCGTTAGTTCCACTGCAACGAAAGCATCTTGTCCTGGCAGTGCAAAATTTGGCTCCGTGGCCGAACTTTTGACATTTGTAACACCGGAGTGGATTGGGGACATACACCTCCACCCCGATGTTAAAATAACCAGCTTTAATGTTTTTTGGGATAGCAGAGAGGGAAAAAGTAAAAAGGTAAGTTTGAGTGTTGACAATACTTCCATCCTGTGTTTTTCTGGTAAAGCGTTTTACTGAGGTAACACCTTGGTTGGACAATTCATGAGCTATTTCAGCCTCTGTCATGTCTGCGAGACAGCGAGCACGATCGCGCACAATACCTTTGCTGGAATTAAGTGATTTGTGTGCAGAAACAACAACCTTTGTGTTAACAAATTGCTGGATACTCAGCAGATTAACAGATTGTTGCTTCCGATCACACTCAACAAGGATTGAACCAGAACGAAGACGGGTCACGTTCTTTACTTCCCCACAGATGCTTTGAATACCCTTAGAAATAACGAAAGGATTGAGTTTGAGAGGATTGTCATCAGCGGATGCCATGACAAGGAATCTTGGCCAAGAATCAGTGACATTTGGAAATACTTCTTCATCAGATGATAAAGCATCAACATGACGACGTTTATTCTTTGAAGAACCAGAAGAAGGGATGTGAGACATGGTTGGATTAATATGATTCGGCATCCCTGCTCCCCACCCGCCATCGAGTGTCAACAAGGACAGTGTTATAGGGCATCGGATTACCAGCATGCAAACACCAGGGATACAGGGATGTTATACTCCAGCAAGTATGACGTGAATAGCTATATTTATCTACCAGATGTAGTGCCAGGCAGGTTCAGTCCATGACAATAAACTGGAGACATACAGAATACAGAGGTCAACATCACCAGATTGGCCCATGAGCCACCGCCTTCTGGCGTAAGACTCTAGGCAGTTTAGTCCATCCAAAATTGTTAATTCATACAAATTATGAATGGCCAAGACCAAAATAGATACTAAAATACAACACAGGTGTGCATAAACAATATTACGCACAGGGCCTGGCATGACCAGCCGATTGATAAGACCGGGCCCATCTTACCACCCGTCTAGGCGAAGTAAGGGTCGAAGTAGTGTGTTGGGCAAAGGAACACAGTTCCAGGAACCAGTGCCCTCAACTACCAGACTCCCGTCCTCCGCCGACACAGGGACGCAACCCACGGCAAACAGGTTGCCCATTTTAGTCGCCTCATACGACCAGCAAAGAGAGGCTGTGGAAATATTCTACCCCGGTTCCACACGGGGGAAGAGCGATTAGCGTTACCCAGCACTCACCACGAGGAGGTTACTCTTCACGAGTGCCTTGTGTTGTAGTAGATGTGTCTTGTATCTTGGAACATATTTATTCTTCCCCGCCCTTTAGGCGGGGAAGTATACGGGAGAGGTTAATTTTGTAGCATGTAAGTCGACATGTCGGTTTCTTTGAAATTTCAAGCCACACAGTTACCGAAACGAAACATACAAATCATGTGAAATGTGCGTGAAATGTTGATGTTTATCTTTTCCAGCAATAAGAGATACTTCCAAATCGTCTTGCTATTCTGAGACTTAGTTACTTTTCGTAATGCTAATAACCCATGAAATGTGTTCATTTTGTTTTTAAAAGAGCTAAAAATGATCCCATTTCGCTAAAGTTAACCGGTCTATATTTTGTAAGAATAAACTATTGCGCATTGAGCGATTATCTCCTTTAGCTATAGGCGTAGTATAGAAGTGATAAATTCACGCACTGACCTTGCATTGCTGTACATCGTATCCTATTCAAGCTGTATCACTGAGAGTGAGTGATTATCTCCCTTACCCAAACAGCTTAATTGCGCACTACCTTTGCAATGTATCGTATGTTATTCAGGCAGCCATCGAGAAACGTTCCAGGAAGGAATTTTGGCCAAGCCTGTCACGCGCACTCAATTTTCACACTGCTATTGCAACATATTTTTCAACACGATTAAATAACAGGCTTCTATAAAGTATGACTTTCTTCAATAAACAACACATGTAAAACAACGGGTTTGATATGAGAATTTTTTTATTAGTTGTCTTCATAATCACAAGTATGGCGCTTGCTGTGCATAGTTGACGGCATTGGTTTAAATACTTCACTGTATGTAATGTATGGTACAATACATGCGGCGGTTTACGTTTCTGCATGGTTTATTGCTTTGACAAAAAAATAAATAACTTCCAGCAGAGATCATACACCCGTATATGTTCTTTGCTTTTGGATACATAGGAAATCAACAGGTTGGTCTGTAGTTCGCTATTATTTTCCCAAAAGATAATACGGTTGCATGATATCTTCACGATGTTTGGGTTGAACATAGTACAATTCTTCTAAACAAATTTCAAATCTAAGCCGGAAGCAATCACAACACAAACCCAGTTAACCAAACGGAACCATACACAAGAGTGAGTGAGGTAGTTGGGTTTAACGCCGTCTTGAACAGTATTCCGTGTCAGCTTGATGTGGGAAGAAAGTCTGAAGTGATGCAGGTCTTAGACGTTCACCACTTTGGTGAAACCAACGAGTAAGGGTTTTGTGCTGACAACAAAATCGGGGCGAACCGAGATTCAAACACACTGTCATAGGTTTCTGGCGTGCCCAAGGGACACAACTCTGCAAAGCGAATTCCAGCGCCTTCGGCGACTGGGCCAACCATGCCCCCGTAAACAACTGTAAGAAACTTTTATACAACAAAGATGTTTTAGATGAGATATGTATTGCGGAACATTCCATGAAGAAACAGTGGCAATATTACACAATCACAAACTACAAAATACATGCACAATAAACGACAATTAAAAAACACAGGAACATTCAACATTCAAAAGAGGTACATTATAACAATTTAATTTCTAAAACAAGTGTATTTTAATGATATGGAAACAATATGAGAATTGAGCAAAACTATGGTAATGTTGTACATACATGTACAAGGAATTTGTTTGTAATTGTTGATATGTTAACAGATCTTGGAAGCTGTTTCTGGATAACTGTTGGTAAACTTATTAAGAATCTGCACCTTTTAACAGAGTGTACCAAATTCTTTATCATGATTGGGGATTATTTGTGATTTTCTTTCTTGGTTGTATTATGTAAGACAGTGCGTAATGTTGTTCATCTTCTGAGACATCACATGTTTCACAGAGACGTTGTTCAAATGTTTTTTTTTGTTGTTGTATGTCTACAATTTTTAGTTTCTGATTACTTAAACGAATTTTTTAGAAAAGTGAACTATGGCCTTTGTTTTTACAATATGTAAGATAATTCTCAATATTTATAGATAACGTGACCAAACTGTATGTTCCTAACTAGTTGCTAGATAAATGGGAATCCATTAATGATTGCGTGATTTTTTACATTTGAACTGAAGTATATTTAGAGTGGATTCATTACATTTTTTGGTGTTTACCATTTTAAAAGTTTGCTTTATTTTTAACCCAACCAACATTTTGACCAGAAATATTGATATTTGCTGCAAAAGCATGCTTTAGAATGACATTTGTTGTGTTATCTATATAGGATTTTTTTATTGGTACTAATAATGGGTATATATCAAGTTTTGCCTGACAGGCCCAGTTTTCTTGCCTGGGTTTTCTTTGTGCTGACCAATTAAAGACACTGTTTCTTTTATTGTGCTTTCCAAAGATAAGTACATTTATAACAACCAATTTGTACTGAACACAAATTCTCTCCTCCCATAGCTTACACTTATTTCCTCTGCACATAACATTATATTGCGGGGAGCTATTGATGCTCTGCAGCAATCTCTACTTGTCATATATAGGTATGTTGTATGATAGTATAAGTGTTGTATTGTGGTCCAGGTGTGTTATACCGTGGTACAGGTGTTTTATAGTGACATATATGTCGTGGGACAGGTGTACTGTGTTATGGTACATGTGTTCTTTACCGTTGTACATATATGTGTATCATGGTACTTGTAAGTTGTATTGTAGTACAGGTGTGTTGTATTATAGACTCTCAAAAACGAAATGAAATATAAATATAGCAAACATATCAACTATTTTATTGATGACATGTGTTGGAGTGAACAACAGTTATGGCACCTGCCACGCAGGTGGTCGAAAATGTTTGAAAGCTGGTGACTTTGATATTGACCAGAAAGAGAGCTGTTATCATATTGTTTCCTCGAAGTAAATATATTTGTTGTCAATGTTTAACTTTATCTCGTTACGGCATGGCTGAGATATTCCCGATGTGACGTTAAATCTTAACTCACTCACTCTCACTCACTCACTCACTCACTCACTCACTCACTCACTCACTCACTCACTTAATCAATAAATGATTGATAATTGATGGATGATTAATAAACATCATTTAATTTAAGCAAAGAGTGATGGCTTGTGGGATGTCTGAGCCTATTTAAGTATCATTCCGTCTCTTTATGACTAAAATATAAATTATAACTCACTGATGGTCACTTTAAATATTCGTGGATCACGAAGATACATGTTGGATGGTTCTGTCGTTATTTACAAAGTGTGATCATGTTGTTCCCTATTACAAATAATTATTTTTTTGACACATGTATGTGATTGTAGTGCATGTAACTTTGGTTGAACACATATAAAGAAGCTACCAGCCCAAGGAATGCCATCAGACTGCATTCCTATCACCGCATATCATGCATGTAGGGACACATCACAAACTCTAGCTTTACCGTCCGATAGTGATATGTCATGGCGATTTAGTCAGGTGTGACATATGTCGCTGTTATGAACACAATCATGTTTTCAACCTACTCGTTACTGACGTTCTAGATTGCTTTACTGTTGAACATGGCGGCGGCCATATCAGGCAGTCTATTGCTGTGAACCTCTTTCGTGATATCAAAGTTATTTCATGTATATTGAACACTCTGGCTGATAATTGATTGTTCATGTGTTCATTTTGTTGAAGCATTGTGTTTGAAGCCATGAATGTGTTCAGAGACATAATGTTATATATGTTTACTTTATCTATTGAGTTCAGTGTTTGTGTTCGTGTAGATATGAAGCTGTTCAAATATAAATGACAAAATCCTTTCCATCACCACACGAAATCTCGATTGTCGATTGTACGATTCCATCTATATCATGAGCATGTGTTTATGAATCACTATCAAATAGTGATGGTATCAGGTGTTCGGGAAACGGTGAGGTTATCCAGGAAGGAACAGGGATATATGATTTCAGGTTTCATTTTAGCTGGTCAAACATGGGTTTTGGCAAAAAGAAATACGTTTCACGAAGTATTTTCTCCATTACATCGCACGATATGACTTACATACCCTCAAATTTGAGATGTTGAAATTTTATATATTAATGCAATGGAATGCCATTCCGGAGGCCTTTCTTTAACGTGTAGTGGCCTCAGTTAGGCTAAGGTGTTAGGCCTCCATCAATGCACACGGTTGACACAGTCGCTATTGACTATCTGGGCCTGCCTCTGAACCTCTCGTGTGACATGATTCATTTTGCATATGACAGGAGCCCTCTTTATCTGGACTGTTGCTTGTTACCGCGTCTTCAGGCATTGTTCTTTCCATATGGTATAATTCCATCCAAGACAGTAATTTGTTTTGACCGATTCTCTTTGTTTTTGCTTTTGAGTATATTATGTCCTATATATTATATCACAACAGTGGTGAATTTAAGATGGACACCTTCGATATTAAGAAACATATTATATTTTTTTTTTTATTAACACAGAAATAGATTTTGCCAGACTAGTGATATCTGTATAAAATGTCACAAACTGCACCATCTGGGGGTGTATACACGAAACGGATGTTTATGTGTTTTACCGACAAGGTTTATGTTTTCAGCCATTGGAAAGACTTGAAGAACAAACTAAACAAAACGACATGGACCACGCTGACCTGAAGGAAACTTTTGAAAAGGAAACAACTGAAAAGCAGAATGAGGATAATGAGGCTCGTAAGCTGACAGTTAGATTTTCTATTTCAAATCAAGCTTTTATTAGCAAGTTGGAATATACCTATGCTGACAGAGTTTATGGTGACACGTGCCACGATGCTGGCTACCATGGACGGTATATAAGCATTGACCACATGGTCGTCGTAATACAACTGGACAAGTGTGGAATGTGCCGTTAAGCAACAAAGCAACTTGAGATATAATTAGTTTCAACATATTTACTGTTACACATGCTATGTAAAGTCGGGATTTTTATCTTTGCAATTTGCACATTGTAGCTATGAATGAAAACAAAGTTTAACTCACAGTTTGAGATTGATTAGGTAGAACGTACAGTCGAACCTCGTTATCTCGAACCACATCATCTCGAATGTACAGATATCTCGAACCTATTCTCCGGTCCCAACCGCCTCAATATATTCATACATATAAATTTACCTGCTTTTCTAGAATTCGAGATATAAATACACAGTGTTATCTCGAACTAACTATAGAATTGTGTACCTTTATCTTGAAATTGGCATTTGCCACATTAACAGTTTTGAGCAATTTAAACCAATTGTTCAAAAAATTATGTACTTATATTGTAATTCAATTGTAATGGTAATCTTAACTGACAAACAAAACATCGTGAATAGACACGAGGAAAAACATGACATCACTTCCTGAAAAAGCCACTTTACGCTAGTCACAATATCCAAGATGTGAAGAAACATGCTTGAGCTAAGAGGGGCACTTTGTTTTTTGTGGGCAGATTAAATAGTGACTGTTGCTATGCCTAATAACAAACATGTTATCAACGAGGAAGTCCAGCATTTCCCGTATTGTTTTCTCAGTAAACTTCAGATGGTATTTGCTTTCATTTTTGACAAATTGCCCTGAACCTCTGAGTATAGGTACTTAGCTGTTTCTGATCACCATGTTTTGTATCAAAAGCCCATGAATCAAGGAATGAAATTTGTCCTTAAGTTTGTCACGTTGGATAGTGAGGTACAAAGTTGAAAAAATAATAATGTTTGGAACGACAGAATGGAACTTGGTTTTTTTCTGAAATTGCATAAAGTCAAGCAAAACCTTTGGATTTTTAAGAATCCATATGGTATTAATTCCACTTGTCACAAACACTTTCTGTGAATATAAATAAAGTCCTTCCTTGTTTGTATTGATTGGAGGATTATGGTTATTGTGTTCCAATTGTTTGTCATGAGCATCAATCGCCGCATTTAAATACAATGACATGCATCAATCAAGTTAGCGATCATGACCACCCGATCCTTTTGTCGCCTCCAGCAGAGAAATCGGCCCTGCTAGGTTGGAGATAATGGGGTCCGACTGAATGTGTTTTTGTAAGTTTGAAGAGACAAATCATGAAGAAGTTGGTTCAAATAAAATGGTTAACGAGAATCATGACACTTCACATGCCGTCCATACTTCAGCAGTATCAACAAAAGACAACGAGGAGCCCAACGCTGTCACTGGTGTACGGCAAAAGAAATCTGATGACAATCTCAAGAAGAAGCTTCCAGAGGATGACACAGACCAGAAAGCTGTGGAAGATGTTGCCGACAAATTTGCTGGCCTCGCCGTGGATACAGATTCACAGTCTACTTTACAAGGTAAATACAATCAAAAACGTGTAAATTCAAAATAATACTCAGGGCACATTGACTAGTACCTCATTCGACATAAGAGGTTTGCTTAAATGTCTCAATCAACTTAATTGATGATGCATACACATAAAACAGCATTTAATCCCGAGAGGGGTCGGGTAGCCTAGTGGTTAAAGCGGTCGCTCATCACGTCACGCAGAAGACCCAGGTTCGATTCCCGACATGGGTACAATGTGTGAAGCCCATTTCTGGTTTCCCCCGCCATGATATTGCTGGAATATCGCTAAAAGCGGCGTAAAATCAAACTCACTCACTCGCTATTCCCCACATGTTGTAGCACTGATCCACACAGTGTGATAGACTCAAGAGTCTTATGAGAATATACATTGAAAAGAGACCATTATTTACTACTAAATAATGGATCTATACTTCTCTACATGTCTCTCCTGAGAGAACAAGACACCAACACGATAATATGAATAATTTTAAATTAAGTATTGCTGGAATCATAAGTATAATATTTCTTCTATGAACCCATATACACATATACACACAGAAAAAAGAGATTGTGCTCGTTTATAAAGCTCACTAAAAATATATATTTATTCTGACATTTTCTAACGTAACTTTCACTCCATATTCATGAATACATCTCCTCGACTCTAAGGCATGTACATGCGTTTCTAATACTCACACACGTGTTTTCCTTTTTATGTAAACTGCACACGATGAGTGTTTTACTGTCAGGTGCTCCTGAAACACTTGTGTTTAACTGTAAATAATGCTCATACAATGTCACGGCTTGCTGAAAATCAACGTCAACGCGCCGTGGTTATGCTGCAAACAGCAATGGCACAAAAAGAATTTTCCAATCATTTTAATGTTTATTAAAGTGCAAGATCATCTCTTGGGAGACGTTATCTACAGCAAGACAACACTCATGACTTGCCACGGGCCGGTCGTCCACGTGTGACGTCACGTCAACAAGACAACCATATTATGTTCGTGCATCTATGGAATCGATACCAAACTGCTACATTAACCTTTTGGACAATTCCTGGTTTGAGACCATTTATTGGCAGAACATATGCAACCAGTAGAGGCACCACAACACCCGGCCCCAATGTCCCGCGATTCGACCAATTTTGCTCGCACGTCTCCGTCAGGCACGCCTTGCTTGGTGTAGACAGCATCTGGGGTTCAGGAGACAAGATAGGGACAGTATACTGCTCGTATAAGTCCAGGTTTCATCTGGACATCTCTGATGGGGTCTCCAGGCTTCCAGCAGAACGTTTGGGCGAAGCTTGCGTTACTGAACGTCGTCATTTTGGGGTGGAAGTGTAATGGTATGGGGTGGCATCAAAACTCATAGTAGAACACATCTCATCATTGTCAATTTGAAAAGCGTACGCTACCTGGACGACCCTTCAAATGCAGGGAAGTAACGTCAGTGTGCAGTGGATAATGCCCACCTACACGTTGCACGTGTTGAAACAGACGTTTGGAGGTAACATACCATTGCTGTACTGCCATGGCCGACAGTTTCACCAAACCTCTCTCCCCATAGAACATGTCCGGGATGAGATAGAGCGATACCTCCCACAGGACCAGAGCCAGCCGGTAACGCTAGCTCAGACGGTCCAATCTTTGAATGACAATTAGAACCTGTCACAGGCTGTCTGGTGCCTTACCTGTATCAATGCAAATGGTGGTTACGCCCAATATTGGCATTGTTAATTGAGTTCTTCACCATCCCTCTTTTAGAGTGTACCACTGTCCCCTGTTACCTGGTATGGGTTTTGCGAATACTTTTTTTATGATGAAACATTGATCAGACTAATGACCATATATACTGAACAGCATTGAAAACGCACCGCCATGAAAATGGATGTATTTTTATCCGGGCCTAAGTCATATGACAATATATAAGTGAATGAGTAATATACGAAGTTCTGGACGAAGCATGAAGAAGAACAGCTCGTCAAAACACATTCCTAATTTTTTTGTGAGCGAAATCGCCAAAATCGCCTGACACAAGAAATGTCAAGATTAACAGCAGAGGAACGTGAACGTGCCTTGGGCATGCTTCAAGTTGGTACGTCAAGTAGAGTCGTTGCACAATGCCATCATTCAACAGTCCTCGGGCTACTGAGCAGATACCAGCAGACAAGAACCACCAGAGATCGACCACGTCCGGGTCAACGTCGTGTAACTACACCACGTCAGGATCGCCATATGGTTCGTCGGCATCTTCGTGATCGTACACTTCCGGCTACCAGGACTGCAGCAACCGTACAAGGCCGACGGAATTGATCAGTGCTGACACCGTACGTCGACGTCTCCGCTCAGAAGGGCTACGTGCTCGACGTCCATATGTTAGACCCATACTCACTGATCGACATCGAAATAAACGTCTGCGTTGGGCCAAAAGGCATCGTCATTGGAGATTGTGGCAGTGGCATGGTGTGCTGTTCTCTGATGAGTCCCGTTTTCATTTACGGAATGCTGACGGTCGACTGCGAGTGTGGCGTCGACGTGGAGAACGTTACCACAATGACTGCGTTGTACAGACAGATCGATGGTGTGTGTGTGTGGGGGGGGGGGGGGGGGGGAGGAGTGTCATGGTGTGGGGCGGCATCAGTCATAACCATCGAACAGAGCTCCATGTTTGTCGTGGAAGAGTTAATGCCCTTTACTACAGGAATAACATATTGGCAAATCACGTCATCCCATTCTTTTATCAGCACCAGGGTATGCACACCTTCCAGCAAGATAATGCAAGAGCGCCCACAGCATGTGTTTCAACACAGTTCCTAGCGAACAATAATGTGCCTCTGCTTTCATGGCCAGCCCTGTCACCCGATCTATCGCCAATTGAACATCTATGGGATTACCTGGGTCAACGCCTCTCACGTCGTCCGCAAGTACAGAACCTGAGAGAACTTGAAGATACACTACGTCAAGAGATGAATGCCCCAGATCACTATTCGCAGATTTATTCGATCAATGAGAAGACGTTGCATGGTCTGTGTTGCTGTCAATGGCGGACATACCAGATATTGACTTTTCATTTTAACCCTATGTGTCTTCCTTACACTGATGACGTAATTGTAATTACTGTGTGTGTGTTTCCTGTGTCGCCTTTCTTAATAATCCGTCTATGTCTGTATCCATCAAAATCGGTCATTGCTCAAGTTGTTTTTGTAATATTTCAAGATTTATTGCTGGTGCGTTTTCAATGCTGTACAGTATATCATGTTGTTATTTTCAATAACATAACATTTACACCACTTTATATGAATCACAGTTACTTTTTGACGCTAGTATATATTGTTGGCTCCAACGGTTCACTTTGATACATGTGTTTCAGCTACACCGCCCAGTCCGGATCGCGTACCAGCCGTCCCTCCTCAGGATTCTGTGCCTATTGTGCCCAATGCATTGGTCGTGAATGCGCGATCCCTACGCAAAAACAAGTCGATCCTACAGCGTCGTCTTGATGATGATCTCAACTTAGCGCGCGTCATTCTGGTGTCCGAGACGTGGTACAAGGATAAACATACCGAAATTGAAAGAAGCATAAATAGGTATAATGGTTTCTTTGAAGATCGAAAGGAAGATGTATCAGGGAAGGGAAGAGGAGGGGGTGCGGCGGTCTATCTCTCAGCTGCAGACTGTTCAGAAGCAAAGTATGTGTACAAAGAATCCAGTCCTCATAGCGAGGCTGTAGGGGTGACCTTCGTGTTCAGAGGCGTGGTATGGTTGGCGGTGTGTATTTACAGTGTATCCACAAGATGGGACGATGAAGAGGAACGAACGAATTGGAACAACAAATTCATTCAGTGGGTACTTGCCAGCGAAGGAGCTAAAGACATAGATTTGGAACAGACCATTATAGTCGGTGGAGACCTGAATCACAGTGAAGTGACATTGCCTGGTTTCACCAACTACGTAAGAACTAGGACTCTAAAACGGGAAGGGGCAGCTGACACTGAACACATCATCGACCTACTCTACACCAATAACGCCAGGGGTTGGGATTCGGTGAACACCTTGGAAGACGAGACACACGGGCAGATCTCGGATCATTTCATTGTGAGGGCTTTCTCTCAAGATATATGAAAGTAATTCCGGACGTGGGAGGAGTTCCAGCTAACAATTTCACGTTGTGACAACGTAAAGATAACGTTGTGTTTTCGTTGTGGTAACGTTAGGGATATTACGTCCATATCACGTTATTCTGTGGATTCCAATTGTGGGAAACCACGTTGTCACAACGTCATGGGGTAACATTGTGTTACGTCATATTCACGTCGTCATAACGTTGTGTTTTTCCGTTATGGGAACGTTGTATTTAACGTTGTTATAATGTTGTATTTTACGTTGTGGCAATGTTATAATATTACGTCCCTACGACATTAATCTGTGGACTACCATGGGCGTTGTCACAACGACGTGAAATAACTTTGTGTAAGTAGGATGAAATACGTTATGACAACGTTTACTCATGTCCATTCCCCGCGAAAATGGTGTAAAACATCCCAAAACTATTTCGCGACATGTTCCGGAAATGTTTTTGAATATGCTTTAGTCACGTGTATGTGTATATTTCGAGATACCCTATACTAATGTTTTGAAAAGCCCAGTTAACAGTCAGGTCGTGATTTGCTGACAATGTTCAAAACGTAAAAAAACCACTGAGCTGATAACTAGATACATTATGACACTATGGCCCTTTAGGCCTGTCCTGCAGGAAACAAAATAAGGACAGACAGGGTTAGGGGTTGACCATTTGATATTCTGGGGGGGGGGGGGGTTGGGGCCTGGAATTTAATCGAAAAAATAATATTGTGGCTGAACATTCTTCACAAAATGTTTAGGTTTCAGTCTGGTGAAACAAACGTAATTGCCGTAATAATACGATGCATGAACAGAAGCATAACAAGTAGCAGAGACTGCTTTTAAAAAAATAACTTACCTCATCACCGATCCAGTTCCAGTTGCTGCACAATGACTTGGTTGTAATAGGCCTATGTATCCAGAATGAACTTGAACTAAGATGGCGGGTGACAACATATCTTCCGCGATAATGTGACGTCATTCTGACGTCACTTCACGAGACAACAAGGCTTTACTTTTCATTATAGCTACAACGGATCGAATTAGGATATAAAACAACGCGTAACAACACAGGGTACAAAGGTCCGCAATCTTAGAATATTCCGAAAAGTGGTCACAGGTATATAGGCAACAAATATTACTAAAGTTAAGGTTAAGAATTCCATAGTCTTGAGTAGTTCAAAATAAGTGTTCAAAAGCCATAGTTTTTCAAAAAGAAGTTGACAAATTACCTGTCAAATTTAGTCCAAAGATAGATGTTTTAATTTCACCAGTCGTGCACTGTTTAGACCAACTCAAGTCAATTCTTGGAAATCCGTGAGAGAAGTAATTCCTTAGAAATCGAACATGCCATTTCCGTTGTAGGGATGACAGGTTATAGAAATAGTTTCTAAAATGCTAAACGAATATATTTCTACAACACACTTTATGAATTAACATTCAACTATTTGTTGTACATGACCAGATATGGGTATGTACACTTGATGGACTGAGAAATTATGATAAGTAGGCTGATAATTCCTTCCATATATTGTCGAATCTATTAATACTACTATTTTTCTTTGTGATAATTTTTTTACATACATCTTTTAATTTTTTTTATGAAAAAAGAAAAGCATTAGGGAGTTTTCTTAATGCTTGATTGCTGAATGTATTTTTTGCGAGAGGAATTATATGGTGGAAAAGATAGTTGTTTTTGTTGTAGCACAATAACTTATCCAGAATGGTAACATGAATATCAAATGCAAGTTTCGAGTTTAGGTACATTTCAATTTCTAACCAAAATTAATTTACAAAAACGCATTCTACATACACATGGTATAAGTTTTCAGATTCAGAGACACAAAAAGAGCATATATCATCATCCATTAACTTCATTTTCAATCATTCCTTTTTGGTAACTAGAGCTCTATTTTGAACCCGCACTGGGAATATATTAGTTGAACATCATTAGTACACATTCTACAATTAGAGAAAACATTATTCCATAAAATGCTCTGATTAAGTTCATTTTCCCATTTATCATACATCAGAGGAAAGTTATGCAGCTATGAGTTTATCATAAAATATTCTGGAGGCCTTTGTTCTTATCAACAAGTCTCTCAAAATTTTATTTATGTATAAATTAGCTGTGTTACAAGATCTGCCATGTATTGCTTTAATACATGATTTAGGGATATTTAGCATTACTCTGTTGTAGTAAAGTAAAGTACCTTTAATTTGAAATTTGTTTTGTAATTCTTCATTTGTTAAACATCTGTTGTTGCTGCATAAATCTTTTAAACTATGAATACCCTTATTAAACCCATGTTTTAGAAGGAAATTAATTGTAAATTGGTGATTGAACCATACTGACTCTGATAAAATTTCTTCAACTTTATGTTTTCTGTAGTAATTTATCCAAATATTCAATATATCCCTCCAAAACTGATTTTTCAAAGTAATAAACTTATCAATATTTGCTCCCAAAAAGAATATCTATTTTGATTGAAAGTTCTTTAATGTTGACAAATTCGGTTTTTGTAAACTTGTCCTTAAAAATGATCATTTCAATGAATCAATAAATTTGCGGGTATCTATCATTCTCAGACCACCTTCTTCGTATTTCCTTATCTAAGTAGATGTTTTTATTTTGTCTGGTTTGTTATTCCAAATGAATGTATAAAATAGTTTATTCAATTTCCCAATAAAATCATCGGGTGGGTTTGGAAGTGCTGAAAATATATGAACTAATGCTGAAAGAGCCAGAGTCTTAATAACTGTGATTTTACCTATTAATGTCAGATGTCTATTTTCCCCAGCTTCCCAGTAACCTATTAATATGTTCGAGTCTTTTTCTTGTATTAATTACCTATAGATCATGTAATGTGGGATTAAATATTATTCCCAAGACTTCACAGACTTTCCCTCATGCCAGTCTAGAATTATGTCTTCACAGAGTTTGATGCTACTTCCTGCCATTGAACCTACCCATAAAGCTTTAGTTCTAAAAAATATATATTCAAAGTATCAACTGCAGCGCTGAGCCACTCTTCAGATCCTTCTATGAATAACTGTGTATCATCTGCATATTGACCTAATTTATACTCGATATCATTTATTGTTATTCCTTTTATGCCTTTAATATACCTAATCATTATTCCTAGTATCTCAGCTACAAGCAAAAATAGGTAGGGTGAAAGCGGGTCACCTTGCCGGCCGGTTCTGAAAAAAAGTGCCATTTTGTATTACACAAGATGATGCATTCTTAGTTAAATTTGTAACCCATCTAATTATATTTGGTCCAAAACCAATTTTTTTCATAACCAATTCAATAAATGTTTTGGAAACTGTTTCAAAAGCCTTTTCAAAATCAATGAGTAATAAAAAGCCTGCCTTATTTTGCTCTTTCAGCTCATACATGATATCCTACATGGTTCTCAATTTTTTATTTATACATCGACCAGGTATAAAGCCAGTTTGGTCAATATGTAATGGCGTACCTAATGTTAATTCTTAATTCTGTTTGTTACACATGTGCTTAAAGTTTTATATGTAGTATTTAGAGGAGAAATCGGTCGCCAGTTTTTCAACAGCCTTCTGTCTTTGTTTTGTTTCGGATTACATGTAATTATTGCTCTATTCATAGTTAAAGTAATTTGATTATTTCGGAAAGTTTACACCTAAGTCATTCCAAACGAATTTAAAAAAAATCAACTGGAAACCCATCCGGGCCAGGGCTTTTATTATTCTTCAATGATTTAACAACTTTTGCAAGTTCAAATATTTCTATAGGTTCTTCAAGGCTTTCCGAAAGTGAGTTACTAAGTAAAGGAGTATCAACATCATCTAATACTTGTCTGATTTCAAAAGTATGTTCCCTATCAGAACTTCTAGATGAGTATAGGTTTTTCTAAAATTCTTTCTGTTCAGACAGTATTTCGTCACCTTCCCTGATGACTTCACCGTTAGCATTTATTAAATTATTTGTGTAAGTTCTTTTTTCCATGTGACAAAAATACTTAGACGTTTTTTCCCTACTTCATACCACTGAATGCTACTTCTTATTTGCCTTCCACTCTCTTTATCTTCCTTTAATTGTTCTATTTTTTTCTAAGACATTGATAAGTCAGAGGAGCTTCTCTCAATTACTGATTGAAAGTCATTTCTTATCGTTTCTTCTAATTCTAAAAAAAAAAAATTCCAATATTTGTCTTTTCTCTTATATATATATTTTTTTAGAAAAGATGAGAATGAAATGGATTTTCCCCTTATTTTCATAAGGAAGGTTTCCAAAATTAGAGTTTTAATTCAGTGTCATTATTATTTCTGAGACTATTTTCATCAAGTGCCAAATCTGCATATTCCTTTTTTGTTTCAACAAAGTTTTTTTTCACAAGATCCACATAATCTTTGTTATGCAATAAAGAGTTATTGAATTTCCAATAACCGTTACCCCTTTCTTTGGATGAAGAATCTGACAAAGTCATGGTAATAGCAGAATGGTCAGATTTATAGCCAGGTAAGATTAAGGTATTTAATGTCAAATTAGCAATATCACCTGAAACAAGAAAGACATCATGTCTAGCCTGTTGCCTTGGATTCTTTTTCCACCAAGTAAATTTCCTTACATCTTCGTTTCGTTCTCTCCAGATATCAACTAAATCAAGATTTTCTGGAGTTTCTAAAAATATTTCTTGAGCTTGGATTGTTAATGTTTTTATTATTTTCAAGAGCAAAAGTTGGATTCAAAACCAGTTTCCAATCTCTACATATAACAATAGAATGATTTTCAAATTCCTCAATATTAGTAAAAAATGCTTTATAGAAATTTCGATCATCCTGGTTTGGTCCATAATCAGTCTGCTATAATAAAGTTTTCATTGATATGATCAATTTTACATATATGTATAGTTGCTTCTATGTTATTATTTATCAACATAGCTATTCATGCTTACCGTTAAAAGCAAGTAGCGGGTGGTCAGGCTCGCTGACTTGGTTGATGCATGTCATCGATCCCATATCTACTTATGTGGATATCTTGTAAACAAATAATACACATTTGTTTATTAGGCCACAAGTTCATTACTTCTTTTCGCTTATTCTCTTGTGCTAGCCCACGGCAATGAGCAGACACTATATGCATCTTATTAGCCATTAGCAAATAAATATATTTAGTTTGTTTTCTCTGTTGGTTGCCTCGTGAATTGGATCTATTGTTTTACTTAAAAAAATGAAAACAAACACAAACAGGGTGTGTAAAACAAACAAAAAGACTCCTTAACACCTATGCCATACTCTATCCCAACTTATAACAATGAAACAATAAAAGCCAGGCCATCACTAGTGCCAATAGACCCGTGAAGATCCGGGGTAGAATAGGTCTTAAGCAACCCATGCTTGCCGTAAAAGGCGACTATGCTTGTCGTAAAAGGCCACTAACGGGATCGGGATGTCAGGCTCGCTGACTTGATTGATGCATGTCATCGATTTCAATTGCCGCAGTTTAACATGAATATCCCACTCAGACACAATATACAGACTCCGAGCCGACCAGTCCTTGTTTTAGCCCCTCAATGCCGAGCGCCAGACAGGGTAACAACAAGTACCATCTTTTAACGTCTTTTGGTTTGACGCGGCCGGGGATCGAACCCCGGACCTTCCGCTCTCCGGGCGGACGCTC